CAGAGAAATGATTTCAAACAAAGACACTGAGGAAGTTAAATCTCGCTCAGAGGCCAGAAGCTGATACACAACATACGTAGATATAACTGAAATACACTGTAGTGGAGGCAGTTCAATACTGAGAAGGAAAACACACACAACATAACTAATTCATTAATTGAAAACAAGAGCAAACACAGCAAGTGTTCCTTTAAAGACAAACAGATAGACAGATAGACAGAAAGACAGATAGATATTACATTATGTGAAGTGAAATAAACTTTAAAATTTAATCATCCACACCCAAACTTAAAAGCCCACATTCCAGCCACAGGAAAAGTCGCTTCCTCTTTCTCTTGAATAAGGAGAAGTTACAGGGGTTTTTTTCTTAAGTTAAAAAAGGTTCAAAAAACACTTTTGAGCTGCATGAACTTGTCTCTAAGGCAAAGACTTAGAAAAAGAAGCAAAATGCAACTTGCTTTTCCAATGTCTGCTGGTCTCCAGCTCACTGTTGTGAGAACAGACTTAGAAACACACTCTCGCTCTCTCTCTTCCAAACATGAAGAGACCTGGGAGTATGTCATGACTCCTTCTGGCTTCAGTATAATGATATAGTAGTGTAATAGTAAGAATTGCTTTTAATATCGTGTTAAAGGGGCTACACTGTGAAGCTTTTGGGGTGATTTTCTATAAAGAGGTGCAGCAAAAGTAAGAAATTACTATTTCCACGTACTATTTTTTAGATGCTGTTCAAAAATGCATATACTGTACATCACTATGATTGGCCCATTGTTTTCAATCAGTGTATAGCTACATTCACATAGCTACATAGCTGCGTACATCATTCTGAATAGTAGCGTAGTTCATCAAATGAAGTGCTATACTAATTAGTACACTAGTATGGGTTTTGGGACGTATCCACAGCTTTGTAGTGAACTTAACATGACAAGTGCATGTACGTGGCCAATTGCCATATAAATCCCTTCATTTGTTCCTCAAACATTACTGGCTGCTGAGTGGACAGACTTTATATTCCCTCACTTTGTATTGCACTTTTAAAGGAGTGTGAACAATGCCCATTGACCGCTGTTCCTGACATGTTTTTTCACAGCTTAAGTAGGAACGAGTGCACTAATTACCAAAGAGGCGATGCTCCTTTCTTAAGTAGAGGTTCAAACTCTTGCTCCTTTGCTAAGTGATGCTCAATCATCAAATATTATAATTAGAACAAGAGGAAGCAGAAGGGTACAAAAACAGGTAAAGAGAAAAATCAATGGCAAAGAAGTGCACTTTGAATAAAACAGATTTTGTGGTAAGAGAGTATTTAAAAAGGACATGACCTTTCTCAATAATTCATGAGCCAGTCAAAAAAGGGCTTAACGGGACAAATTAATGAGCAAGTGTACTGCACGTTGCAACATGTTGTATGTTAATCATGCAGGGTTACTCAGGGTCACGTTCTAGAGACAGTTAAGAAATGAAGTGGAGACTGAGGGGAGAAGAGGGCTGGTATTTACACTCACTGGTCGTTTAATTAGACCTACTAGATAGGTACGCTTTGGAGTTTTACAATTAGTGAAGCCAGACCAGGGTTCGAATAAAGTTTCAGCAAACACATTCAAACTGCTGTTCCAGCAGTCTTGTCTTGCATTTATTATATTTGTGTTCGTAATTGTGCTTGTGGATTGGATTCTTTGGGTAAAATTAAACTGCTAAAAATTAACTGGATAATGTACCACATCACAGCATTTGTATGTACATAATACACTGTATTTACCAGATTATTTTCCTCACTGTATTTTGAATATATATTTCTTACAATCAAATTACTACCTGTATATTTTTTATCTGTAATGCACAAAGACATTTGCTACACAATGCATAATGTTAGTAACCCAGTACTTCACCAATAAAAGGAAACAAAAAAATGATGACTGTATCATTAATGCAAACAGAAGGAATGATTCGGACTACAGACTTGTGTTTACTGATAATCATGTTTGTCACTACCCTTACCTATCTACAGGTGACAGGAAGTCTGATGTTCTTGTCATATTTTTCTCTCTTTTGCTTCCAAGTGCCTCTCTCCCTGTGTGTAATGTCAGTCAGAGAGTGACATTGCCCTTATGCACTGTGCAGATATAATGTGCAGTGTGCTAGCCTGGAGAAAAGTCTACTCTTCTGTTTTCCTAAAATATTTCACCCATGGTATGCAGAGCAATCGTATGCACAAATGTACATGGCAACATACAGTATACTTACAGAAAGATGACAAATTAAAGGGAAAAGTAGTGTCTCTGTTATGCTGTGGGTGGCATTTTGGGTCCACTTGTCCCCTTAGAAGCAAAACACACTGCAAGATTGTTATCCTGATAGGAGTGATCTGTACAACTTCTCCAATTAGAAAAAAAAGCAAGGCTGCTCTAACACAAAGCTGTAGCCACTATAACAAAAACAGCATGTGGTGCACTGGTGCAGTGGAAAAACTTAAAGTTATATAATAGCTATCACAAAACAAGAATACAAAGGCGAACAAACTAGTTTTCAGAGGTGTGTGTGTCAGATGTGGGTGGAGGATAGAAATATCTGACAGTTTTGACCTTTTGGGGACATTTGATGGTGAAAAAGATAAACATGTCAAGCAAAAAATATTAATAAATAAATAAAAGACCGGGGTTATGAAAAAGTAAACACATCCATTTTCTGTACCACTTGTCCTACATAGGGTTGCATGGAGCCTGAAGCCTATCCCAGGGGACTTGGGGCACAAGGCAAGGGACACCCTGGACAGGGTGCCAATCCATCACAGGGCACAATCACACACATTTGCACACTAGGGACAATTTAGAGATGCCAATCAGCCTACAAATCATGTCTTTGGACTGGAGGAGGAAACCCCCGAAGCACAGGGAGAACACACAAACTCCACACACACAGGGCAGAGGTGGGAATTGAACCCCCAGCCCTGGAGGTGTGAGGCGACCGTGCTCACCACTAAGCCAAAGTGTCCCCTAGGTAAACACATCACAATAGAAATTCAGAAAGAGTCCAATTTAAGAATTTATGAATATACAGCAGCAAGCAGATTCAAGCAGAACACCCACTAGTTGGCCATGTTTAACCTCATAGAACCTCATAACCTTCTCTAGTGTTCTGCTTGAATCTGCTTGCTGCTGTACAACTAGTTTTGGAGCTACTCTTCTAGTGATATGCTCTAATTTTTTCCAACTGACAAATTCAGCTAATCAGTTTGTCTTTGGGTGTTTGTCTGTACCCCTAATCCTGGGTGTGTGATATAGCAGTGGTTGCATCAGCAACTAATCTCCTGCATAAATAGACCACTAAACAGTGGCGAGAGTGAAAAGAGAAAAACCCATGGCTATGGGTTCAGTGCACAAACACTTCCAGCTTCTTCAGAGTACTGCTCATTGCCCACTGAACATTTCCAGTTCTTTCACTACACTAGCAATAGCAGTATTCTACAGTCAGTGTCTGCAAGAACTACCAAAGATGAATGTCAATGAAATTTATCAGTTACGGTGGCTTGCAAAAGTATTCAATCCCCCTGGAATTGATCAGATTTGAAAATCAAAAACTGAAAAGTGCAGCTTGGATAAGTATTCAACCCCCAGCTTCCAGAAGCTCCAGATGAAACATATTGTCTTAACAAGGACACAACTGACTTTTAATTGGGCTTCATCTGTGAAATAATAAAAAAGCCCATGCCACAACTCCCATTTTCTGAGCAAAAACCACCTCCGTTGAATTATCAATAAAGCAAAGGAGTGAAAATGAAGAACTTAGAAGGAGCATTCTAAGGAAGTTAAAGATACGGTAATAGAATTTCATAACTTCAGAATAGGGTGTAAAATTATATCTAAGAAGTTGGACATCCCAGTAAGCTGCATCAAACCACCCAAGCACTACCTAGACAAGGCCCTCCCTCAAAATCCACCATGAGGCCAACAGTCACTCTGAAGGAGTTACAGAGTGCAGTTGTTGAGAGTGGAATGAGGGTGCACTAGACAACCATTTCTAGAGCTCTGCTTATTTGAGGACAGTATGGGAGGATGGTTAGAAAGGAACCATTGCTCAAGAAGGAAGCTATATGAACCTCGATAGTGACCCAGTGAAGATGTGTTTTTTTGGTGTGGTGAGACCAAGATCAAGATGTTTTTTAAAGTTTCAAAGCGCTATGAGTGATGCAAATATAACACAGCCCATACTTCAATTAACACCATCCCTACATTGAAAAATGGGGGAGAAAACATCATGCTATGGGGACACTTTTCATCCTCAGAACCTGGGCATCTTGTCAAAATTGAACGAAGAATGAATGGAGCAAAATACAGGGTGATATTACAAGAGAATCTGCTTCAGTCTGTTAAAACAACAACGAAAAAAACTAAAGCTTGGGAGAAACTTCACGCTTCAGCAGGACAATGATCCCAAACACTAGGCCAAAGAAACACAGGAGCAGTTAAAACTGGCAAAGTCAAAGTTCAGATCTGAATCCCATTGAGAATCTGAGACACTGTTTGAAAATTGGAGTCAACAAACAATATCCAACCAACCTGAAGAGCCTGGAACAAATCTGCCAGCAGGAATAGGTGAAAATCTCTCCCAAACAGTGTGCAGAGCTGCTAGGAACTCAGACTTGAAGCAGTTATGGTAGCAAAAGGTGATTCAACCAAGTACTAGGCTGACAGGGTTTAATACGTTTGCAAGCAGCATTTTTCAGTTTTTAATTGTTTTTAAAGATCAGGGTCCCTGGAGGGCTTGTGGTTAGACCACAGTGCTCTCACCACTGTGGCCTGAGTGTGATTCCCAGGTAGGGAACCAACCCCAGCCACTGGGGTCGTGTGCAACAGTGCACTCTCAGTGCCTGTCTCAAGCACTGTTGGGGAGACACAGTTTTTACACCGGATGCCCTTCCTGACAAAACCCTTGCCAGTTTTATCCAGGCTTGGGACCAGCACTGAGAGCGCACTGTTGCACACAACCCCAGTGGCTGGGGTTAGTCCCCTAGCCAGGGTTCGAACCAGGCCGCAGCAGCAAGAGCTCCATGGCTTAACCACTAGTCCTCCAGGGACCCCAAAGCAGAGTTTCTTAGTACTTGTATGGGATTTCAGTATCATGTTAACCCCAAGCTAACAACAGTGTACCGTCCCATAACCTTCTTGTAATTTAAGCAGCACAAATACCATAACAATAAACAACAATGACTTGGCACATTACTTACAGGCTAATGGTGAAATTACCAAAATAACATATTATCATCATATTAGTACATATATTTAAAAAATTCATATTAGTTTGAAATTCCAAAATAGTATTACTTTCTGCTAAATATTTGTGAACTAATAACATGTCTTGATAGTGGACATCTGTAGGTCATAGCAAGACCTGTACTTCAATTTTCACCCCGTATTTTTCATCCTGTGTGCTGTGCTTTGCCAAATCGGAAGCTTTCTTCCATCTGTATTCATCCTGCTCTTCTCCGCAGTGTTCATTATTCAACACAGGAAACTTTGCTGCTTCTGCACAGATGAAGGGAGGAACAAAAAGAAAGCACAAACCATGCCATTGTGATCGATTTTTCCTCTGATAAAGGGCAGAGGGAAAGGCTAAATCACACACAGGGCTTCAAAGAGCACCACTCCCCAACACACTGAAAGCACTAGGGTTGAGTGTGTGTGTGTGGTGTGTGTGTGTGTGTGTGTGTGTGTGTACAGTTACTACTTTTTGAACATCACAAACTACTTCAGGTGTTTTTGCAGAAAAGTGTCTTCATCACTCTACCCTGTCCATTGTATTAGTCTCACACACACACACACACACACACACACACACACTAAGATATTAATGCTGTCAGTGTCACTGGTGAGCAGATGGACAGGGTACAGGAGCTACAGTCAATGAATTATTTAATAATTAATAAATTAATTAATAAATTAAATGTAATTTATTTAGCACTTTTAAACATTTTCAGGAAGCAGCGTAACTAGCAAAGTCTCTTGACTGCGTCATCCATATATTAAAATTCAGTAACTCCTTTGCAAATTATATGATTTGAAGCCGATCAATTGAGGTTTAGTTAGTCTTATTATGCATACATTTACACACACTCTGGAGCACGAGCAGGATATGAACGATTTTGTTCTTTTTTTTCAAAATTCTGGGATTTTCCTGAATACCAAATTGTCTGTGTAAACGCTCGTACTAACGATTTACAAGAAAAATCCCTCCGTAGCTTTACAGCTTGATAAATGAGGTCCATTGAGAGGAACCAGATTCAGACATGAAACACATCCTCATCTGGATAACACCAGATAATTGGATTATGTACACAGTATGTAGCTGTACGTACGTAAACCTCATAGCACAGCAATTCAGTAAATACTGATGTTTTTTGGAACTTGGGTTGAAATCTGAGCTTAAGGCTTAACTAGTGCTGTAATGATACAATATTAGAAAGTTTGTTCTAATTAACATAAAATTGTATGATAATGTTAAACCCACTGCCAGCATCTTTGATCTGAAGCTAACCCTACTGAAACATAAAAAAAAAGTCTTGTCTTTGTTCAGAGAATACCACTGCAAGTCAAAACGTCTACTTTGACACAATTATTTATTTATTTATTAACAAATTTATCCAAGGTCAAGGGGACAGCGCCATATTGCCAGTGACTTGACATTGATTATACTCCTTTCTTTTACTAGTCACCGAGTCATTAGTACGAAAGTTAACGATCTAATTAGCACTCTGACTTTGCAGGATGATTGAGACTTCACAAATTGAACAATACTGTTTTAAATCTTTGTATTGACTTTAATTATTTCTCTTTCATTAATCTTCTTTTTATTATGAACATCAGCATTATTGTCATTTCGTTGGCAGGTAATTACTAGCTTACACGCAGCGTGGAGCCTCAGGATGCCTGTTTACAGATGGCGAAGTGCAAAAAAAAAAGACTTGATGTACGACACGAATGCAAAATTGTAGAAAAGACTGTGCAATCTGTTCATAAAGTTCATAAAAACATTTCACAGGCTCTCAATGCTATTGGCATTGAAAGTGTGAGTGTCCAACAGGAATTGAATTGAACTTAAGCAAACTTAAGCAGAGAGGAAATGCAGATGTAAGTAATGATTATGAATATAATGATTTGTGACAAGAAAAAAAAATAGCTATATATTCTACCTCTAGCTTTGTGTGAAGCAGATTTTTTACAGCACCATTTTTCTGATGGCTGCCACAATGTCTGAAGTTTTGATTAGAACAACTTTAGATTAGAACAACACAAAGACTTGTTGGCAAAAAAGTGACTTGATGACTGTTTATAAGAATACCATAGCTTACCATTTCAGCTTTAATTCAAGGGGTTTAACAAAAATATTGCATTAACTGTTTAGGGAAGTACAGCCATTTTTTACAGAGTCCCTCCATTTTCACAGGCTCAAAAGTAACTGGACAAACTAACATAATCATAAATATTAGGATTATTTTTAATACTTGGATGCTGCCTGAAGTCTGGAACTCATGGACATCACCAAATGCTGAGTTTCCTCCCTTGAGATGCTTTGCCAGGTCTTTACTGCAGCTGCCTTCAGTTGCTGCTTGTTTGTGGGTCTTTCTGCCTTCAGTTTCGTCTTCAGTAAAAAGAAAAGCAGCTCAATTGGGTTGAGGTCATCAAACATTTAAGAGCATTTAATCTCTTTGTCTTAAGAAGCTCTGGGGTTGCTTTCGCAGTATGTTTTGGGTCATTATCCATCTGTACTCTGAAGTGCTGTCCTATCTTTTGCAGCATTTGGCTGAATCTGCAGAGAAAGTATAGCTCCATGCACTTCAGAATTCATCTTCCTACTTCTAACAGCAGTCACATCATTAATAAACACCAGAGACCCAGTTCCATTTCCAGTCATACATGCCCATGCCATAACACTGCCTCCACATGTTTGACAGATGATGTGGTATGCTTTGGATCATGAGCCCTTCCTTTCCTTCTCCATACTTTTCTCTTCCCATCATTCTGGTACAAGTTAATCTTGAATCAGAACTGGTCAGGCTTATTTTCAAAGTTTAATCTGGCCTTTCTGTTCTTGAGTGTTACCAGTGGTTTGCATCTTGAGCAAAACCTTCTGTATTTACATTCATGAAGGCGTCTATTGAGTGTAGATTTTGATAATGATACGCCTACCTCCTCTAGAGTGTTCTTGACTTGGCTAGGTGTTGTGAAGGGGTTTTTCTTGAACAAGGAAAGAATTCTGCGATCATCCACTTTAGTTGTCTTCTGTGGTCTTCCAGGCCTTTTGGTGTTGATGAGCTCACCAGTGCATTCCTTCTCTTTAAGAATGTACCAAATTGTTGATTTGGCCCTCCTAAAGTTTCTGCTATCTCTCTGATAGGTCCGTTTTGTTTTTTCAGCCTAATGATGGCCTCCTTCTCATCGACACCTCTTTGGACGGCATATTGAGAGTTCCCATGAACAGCTACCAAATGCAAATTCAATGCTTGGAATCAACTCCAGACCTCCTTAATCTCCTTAATTTGTCAGGAAATAACGAGGAAACAGGCCACACCTGGCCACGAAACTGGTTATCAGTCAATTGTCCAATTACTTTTGAGTCTGTGAAAATGGAAGGACAATGTATAAAAACGTTTTTTTTTTTGTCATTTCAGCTACTGGATCTGGTTTATTGAAAATGCAATTCAAAACTAATTTTAAAAAAATCTAATCTAATTTGATTTGTTGGTCCTTTGGTCCTATAGAATTTTATGAAGTTGCTGAATGTCAATGTTTCACTCTATATTAGTAGATCATATTTCCTATGGGGGAAAAGCTAGCACCCTGGTATAATGATGACCCTTGCACTTTACACAAACACAAAAAAAACCTTATTCAAAAGTTAAAATGTAAATCTCATCAAAGTTAGCTGGTAGTTTTCCGAAACAGTGTGGGAGGAGTGCCTTCTTAATTATAGAAAGGCTCTCACTGCACTAAGTCAGCATATTTCTCCACCTGGATGGAAAATAACAAAAATAACCGTAAATGTTTGTTTAGTACAATATCAAAGTTACCTACGAATAAGACCAAGAAGCATAGATGTCAAAAAATATGCAGTAGTGATGACTCCTTGTTTTTTTCCATGACAAAATTAGACAGAAAAATCATAAAATAAATATAAATTTAATATTAGATCATTTGATACCTAATTATATAGAGACCAATATAACCTCATCAGCAGTTAGTAAAATTAGAATCCTTTATTCCAATCCAGCAGTGACTCAGGCCAAGGGTTGGAAAATACTTATGTAATTGTACTAGGTTTCTATACTTTTTTATTATTATATGTATTATTTAAGTATTGTGGTGTATTTATAACCTGGAATAACAGGAACACCGGGGGCAAGGCAGGAGAATTCAACAAAGGTGGGACACCAATCCATCCCAGGGCACCATCCACACACTGATTCACACCTAGGGGCTATTTAGCATAGCCAGTCCACTTACATGCATGTTTTTGTACAGTTTGAAGAAACTGGACAACCCGGAGGAAACTCACGCAGACATGGTGAAAACACGTAAAACTCCAAACAGACAGTAAGAGTAAAGAGAGTAAAGAGTAAAACAGACAGGAAAACAAGTAACACTTTTGGCTGAATTGTCTCCTTTTAATTGAGTAAGATTTCGACACATTATCTATACTTTCACTTACTTAAGTATAATTTCTTAGTACTTTTTCCATCACAGTGCTTAAACAGCACTGGTTAAAGTAGTAAATGACCTACTACTAGCCTCAGGGTTGCACTATGGATTGTAAATGTTAATGGTGACTCTATGCGTGAATCTCTATGATGTTCCTCTAAGCTAAGTTCTAGGACCACTGCTTGTTTCATTACATATGCTACTTCTGGATTCATAATCATGGTAGAAGCGTCCACTGCTATGCTGATAACACACAGTCGTATGTGTCAGCCAAACCTGATGATAAATTTGAGTAACGTATTAAGGATATTAGATACTGGATGCTGAATTACTTTGTGGCAGCAGGAGCGTGGTCGGAGCTGTGGAGCTGTGGACGGAGAGG